ACGGCTTCAGTGTAGTCTCACACTAATGAGTCCACTCTCTTGTTTAGAAGGTAAACCTAGGCAAAAGCATCTACAGTTTTTTAGTGGACTTAAACAAGACACCAAAACAACATAGATTGTCTCCACTTCCTCTGACTGACTGTTACATCATTAGGGCAGAGCTTCAATGTTGTTATTGTGATGTATTGTACTCAGGAAATCAGATTTTGAATAATGATATCAGTGGATAAGTATTCCCTAGTGCATTTAAACAGATTTACTGATGGCCATTAATGTTGAAATAAAACACTCACACTGTAACTCTCATGCAATATCAATAACATTGCAAATTGCGATTCAATTGTTTATTGTGTTTTCAGTACACATTGATGTTCTAAAGTGAAGTGAGCTGGCTCGCTGTCTACATGCATAGCTACCTTCTGAAGCAGCTTCCTAACCAAGACAAAACCTCACAAGTGACTTAATGATGTTCTACTTCAGGATATAAACTATGTTACCGGCAGCATAGTAATAACTCTCTGTAAGATTGAGTTAGCTCCTAAGCTTAGCTTACCATAAGAAAAGCTCGAAAATAGATAGGACACACTTTTTTGTGAAATTGGTTTATTTGAATGAGCTGGAACAATTTTTTAGTGATATTTTTTAGTACTAAACTAATTTATCATTTGTTTCTAAGCATTTGGGACTTTTCCGCAAAGTATGTGATTCTGACTTAAACTTCTACTAATGTATTTCATGCAGTCTTTGTCTGTAACGTGTCCTGTTTTTTTGGGCCTGTTATATGGCTCGGTTCCTAGCCTAGTAAGTTAACTATGTACAGTGCCCTCCTCTAATATTGGCACGCTTGATAAATATGAGCAAAGGCGGCTGTGAAAAGAGCCAATCCCAGAATGCACTGCACAACAAGCTCAGTAAACAATACATCCAAGATGGTGGATGAAGTGAGAGAAATGTTGATTATAAATATATTTCATTTAAAACTGAAAAATATAAGTAAAGATAGATCTGTATCCCAAATAAAATTAATTTTTGTGTGAGCTATGTATGTTTATGTTTAGAGTTATGCTGGGTTATGCTATGAGAGTATTGTTTTGGTTGATTAGCAAAGCAACATGCTAACATAAGAATCTGCTGGAATCAATTGTTTTTCTAGTGTCCTTTGTAGACTGCTATTTGTACGATGCAGGTTCAACCCAGGATCATGGGAAAAACATGGCTATGGCGACATTTCTGCTAAATGAATGTATGTTGACTTATTTATTGCAACACTCTCAAAATGAAATGTAGATTTACTTTTATCCAACAGATGAATGTGAATCTGGCAACGTTTTAGTATGTTGGCTGTTGTGTGTATCACAGCAGTTCGGTAATTAAATGTCTTGAGTGACACTAAAAGTTAATACTGCTTTTTCAAATTAGGTTTTGGAACAGACCCTTTTGAGACAACTGGGCGAGTCGTGGTTTCATTGGATATGCAAATGATTTGATGTTTTGGCCCCTCAATGCCACGTATGAAAAATGAGATGGCAAGTTTTCACCACATACAGAGATATCATCTAAGTCCTTTTGACTGATCCTTCCATGTGGCATAATATCGGTCTTCCCACTTGTATAAAAAATGAAGTATTGTCTGTGAATAAGCATTGTTGGATAACCTGCATCAATCTACGTGAGAGGAGAATACATCCTTCACTCATGTGAAGTCAGTGTCTTCCAAAACGTAAATGAGATGCCAATAACAGCTGTCTTCTCACAGTATTGATTAACCTCCTTGTGAGGGAAGCAGCGAGGCGTTCCCATGGCAACAGGTGCGTTGTCTGCCGGGCAACGAGAGCGACAGTGAACTGGGGCTATTAATAGACTTTATAGCGAGCGGTTATGTCGTAGACCTTGTCAGATTAATGTGTGCATCCATGGACTTTTTGTTTGTTCTCCTGTGTAAATATCATGTGAACACTGGTCCCGCCACACCACATCACACTTCCATTTCCTCCCCATCCCAGTCTGCTGGAAGCAAATTCACATTTTATGGTGTCCCTGCTATTCCAGAAATCACTTTCTTGTTGAAAATGTGCATAATGTGACACATCTGTGATGTAATTGGTGGGAATGAGAAGGATGTGGCCTGGCTGTATCATCTATTGAGCCCCATGTGATTGGCAGGGAACATGGGCACACAAAGCATATTCACTATGCGTGTCACATATTGTTGAGTGGTCCTTTGTAGATCTGAGAGACAATGCCAGTGTAATAAGGCTTTCAGTGTTTGGGGATTTATTATGTGGTGCATGTCTGCAGTATTCGGATTCGAACAGCATTACTGGCTTGCATAAACTCACTTTCACATTCTTTATTTCTTTATATAATTCTTTTCTACTACTAACTATACTTTAATGAAAATGTTCACCCAAAAAATGTCACTTAATGACCCCTATGCCATTCCAAATCCATATTATCATTATTATTATTATTATCATTGGTTGTGGAACATGATATGAAAATTAAGCTTTTCCTCATTATGGTTGACCACCAGTTATTTTGCCAAGAGATCTCTAATTTATTATTTATATACGTGTGTCAGACAAAATCACTGAAATGAATTAGTGAGGAATATATTGGCTATAATGAAAGTGAATGGAGCTTGGGCTGTCAACCTCAAAAATGATAAAGATTAACTCTAGAATATAGTGTACAAATACTTTATGATTCCTTTCTGTAATATTTTTGGTGCTTTTTAGGGATGCACGATGTATCGGCTACCATATCGGTATCGTCTGATATATGTTTATTTGAAATGTTATCGATATATTAAAGCCGATCGATAATGAATTATTTCCTTCAGCTGAGACACTTCAGATGCGCACTGTTCGCCATGATTGTTTTGAATTGCTTAAAATATAATAGGAATCTCTTCAAATCAGGAAAATACAGTTAAGTGCATATATGTAACGCAAGTCTGTCATGAAGGCTAAATCCTTATAATTGTGGATTTTAATGGTGAGACTTTTGTTTTTGTAATCAGGCTCTCAAAAAATATATACATACTTGGATTTAGATTTATCAGCCAATATATCGGTTATCAACTTGCAAATATAAAGAATTATCGGTTATCGGTATCGGCCAAAATTGTCATATCGGTGCACCCCCCTAGTGCCTTTGTGTCATTTTGGAGCTCAACAGCCCCAATCCCCATTCACTTTCATTATAGAGACGAGCAGACAGTAGTTTCTTCATATGAGTTTGTAGCAACAGGTTGAGTGAAGGATTGAATTTTCATTTTTGGGTGACTCATTCCCAAGCGTTTGTGCTTTGGGCACTATACTTTCTAACCACAGGATAGATTTCGAAAGCAAACCTTTGTAATAAAAGACAAAAGTGTGTAGGAGAATAATTTTCTGTTGTGCTTATCCATGTTTTTGACTTCTTCCATCCATTCCATACAGCATACTCTAATGTTGAAATGATTTTCTATGTAATACAACAGGGCTTAAGAAAAATGTTTACAGTATTGACAATAAATTATATTTTATTATATGATATGATTAATATCATATTTTTAAATATGATGGATTCTTTATAAATATGGTGATTATCTCTAAGTTATGTTATTTACCATCTGAATCTAACCATGTCATGTCAACAAATGGAAAAGTCAGCCGGCTGTTTATTATCATGTTAATTATTGTGATTTTCGCCCCAACCTTTTACCCCAGATACCATACTTTTCCATATTCTTCTGATATTGAAAAACTGTTGCTTTATTTACCTTGAACAAAACTAAAAACCATTAGAGGTGCTCTATGTAACTTTTCTACAAAAATGAATCCTTTTTTTATTGCCTGTGTGTGAAGGGGTTGTAATCACACATTAAAATGATCCACTTGTCGAGTTTTGCTATTACCTCTGAAGGCCAGTATTCCTATTTCTATGTGAAGTCTCCGGGTCGGATTTACCGCGAAATCCAACGGATGTGACGTGCATGCGCGCTCCCGAGCCTGTCTCCTTATATACAGTCTATATTCCCAAGACTCTAATCGTTCGTAGTGCTGGACGGGGCCTTTCGAACGAGCCCACCCCCGAGGTCCTACTCGTCCGGCTCCCCGAGTTATAGCCGTTCGAAATCGGGGGTCCCAGTGAACGGCGATCCGGTAGGGGGCATCCCCGAGGCCCGTCACTCTAGCGTTCGGGCAAGGGTTCCCCTGGGACCTCCTCCCCCGAATTTGAGCTCTCTGGGTCTTTGCGTTCCAGAGATACGAGCGATTTTCTTCTGAGATCGTGACGTCACCGGCGTCCGCAATTTTGCAGTGCGCCCGATGGTTTTCTGCTAATATCTCCGCGAAAACACCACCAAAAACTATGGAACTTATATGGTTCTTTTCAGCCCGACTAGATGGTCCCAAGGAGCTCGGTGCTCGCCGAATCCGTCAAGTATTCGCCGATATATTTACGTAATAGACGGTATTGTCTATGAGTTCTAGCACGAGCGCTCTTGTAAAATTTGGTTGCAATCTGAAACATCACCACTAGAGGCCGCTAAAAGTTACGTAGAGCACCTTTAAGACAACCTTTGTTTCAAAATACATTCAATAATTTCAAGCGATTCTCATTTGTTTCTTAAACCTACAACATTTAAAAAAAACATACATCAAATTAGCACATAATCAATGTCGAGGATCAGCCAAATTTCCATGTGCATCTTGAAAAGCGAATGTTATGGAAAGGTTATGCCATCTAGTGATTTAGAGGAAAATCAAATCAAAGGCGCCTTTTACCCCAGCCCAGTACGTATTTAGACATGTTGTACCCTATATAATAACTCTTTATCATATCAATAGAGGCACTAAAAATTCATTTTCCAACTCGCGCAAAAAAAATATATATACTGCACTGTAATGTCTTATAATTAGTTTCACATCTGTGGAATGTGAGCAGCTAATGGAAAGATGCCAAACCAAATGGAAAATAGCCTATATTTGACTGCTATATATACATCCGTCCAGGTATTGGGTCCATGACCATTCCTGTGTACATCGCTGAAACATCGCCACCCCACCTGAGAGGACGCCTGGTCACCATCAACACACTGTTCATCACAGCGGGCCAATTCATAGCCAGCCTTATCGATGGGGCCTTCAGCTACATGCAGCATGGAGGCTGGAGGTAGGAGCACCAAGTCTTTGGGTTTTAATGACAGAATTTGCATTGAATCTAGAATGTGTCTCGTTTCTTTGCTGTGGTGTCAAATGCGGAACAATACAATGACCGTATTTTTTTTTTTTTTTGAGAGTATTGAAGGATTTCTATGATGTTCACAATCTACAGCGCCATGGGATGTGAGCTTGAAGTCTGATTTGAGTGTGATGCGAGAATGAATTCACTGTGTGGATTTGTCTACCTCTGTGTGATGTGAACGTCAACTCTACTGGAAAGAAGAACCATCCTGTAGGGCAGATCCTGTAAATCATATAATTTTCACTCTATGTAGCCTGTCACAATAAACCCCCAAAACAAAACAAAATAAATGTTAATCCAGCAAATATCCCCCTCGCCATGTGTTGCTGTTGCTCTGGGAAAGAAAATGTTATAAATGTGTGTACTTGATGGAAATGTTGCCATTTATTTACTTTTATCTTCCCCAGGATCTAAACCGCAAATCGCTCTATGTTAATGAAGGGATTACTGCATAACCAACTCATTCTCATGATAATTTGCAGTAAATAATGATTCAAAGGATGGCTAGGTTCATACAAAAAGTTATGACGGTTTTTGCTTTATGTATATTACAGACCAAGTTGGCTTAACTGGCAGATATTTATGGTAAAAATCAAACATGTGATACATTTTTTTCAGAAATACTAAACACAAGTCTTTCTGCTTGTCTCCACACTCTGTAAAAAAATCATTTCCGTCTAAGATTTTAGTAAAATATGGGTAATACTTTCCAATAAGGTTTCTTTTGTAAACATTAGTTAACTTTAGTCAATTTGAACTAACAATGACCAATACTTGTACAACATTTATTAATCTTAGTTCGTTCATTTCAACATTTACTAGTACATTCAAAAATTGTATTTTCATTGTTAGTTTATGTTAGTTAATGCATTAACTACTGTTTACAAATGACTTATTGTAAAGTGTTAAATATGTAAATTATGTATGATAAGAATGTGTGAGAATCTTAAAATCAGTTTACATAGATACACGTCAACTAACTCTCAAGACTATTAGTAGACTGTTAGGGCTAGTAGAATAAGTTGACATTTACTTGCAGAGTTGCTTATAGTCAGTAGATTTTCTGTTGGGGGAGCATCAAAATAAAGTGTTAGCAGATATTAAGCAGACAGTCTACTACTCTAATGACCGCTAGTCGACATGTAGTTGTAAATGTACTTATAATTAGTAAAGTGGACTGTTGAAATAAAGTGTTACCCAATTTGTCAAAGGAATGCTTTTTTTAAGTTAACACCATTCACCCTATACCATTAGCGTCATGTTCTGTTCACATCAGATGTAGTTTTAAAAATAAACTAGCTACAAGCGTAGGCACCATGTAATCTTTCAGCAGCTGAGGATAAGAGACAATGAGAAAAAAACAATGATTTTTTTCTTCTAATTTCTTCTAACATCCTCTATTAATGACATTTCTTTTTCCATCTGTGTAGGTATATGCTGGGTCTGTCAGTGGTCCCTGCATTGCTGCAGTTCCTGGGGTTCCTCTTCCTACCAGAGAGTCCTCGCTGGCTCATCCAGAAAGGTCTTACCCAAAAGGCCCGGCGCGTGCTCAGCCAAATACGTGGCAACCAGAACATTGACGAAGAGTATGATACTATCAAAAGCAGTATTGAAGAGGAGGAAAAGGACTGTGGAGGAGGTGAGAAAATAGTCTTGCAAACACTCAGAGATGCAAGTAGCTCAAAGAAACACAAATATAGTTCACTGGTTTCATTAAATTATGGAAAGTAATCAAGTGCACAAGAGAACACCATGTGGATGTTGGTAACTTAAGAAGCTTTCACATTTTCAGCGATTTGCTGCATAAATGCGCCCAGAAGCCATTCGTTTAAATGGGAATTGGTGAATGGAGATGAAATGAGTATCAGAAACTGCTACAAATGCGACACACTTGCGGAGACCAATAGGGATGTTCAATAAGTCTAGAACTGCTCTGATTCATTTAGTGTCTTTAGACTGATTCAAACTTATTACTAATGAGTTGAGTCTTTTTAACCAATTAATTTAAAAAGAACTGACCCATGAGACGTTTTTGATGTTGTTTCTATGCCTATGTGGTGTTTTTAATATGGTTTAAGACAAACCGTGTGCAAATTCATAAGTCAACACCATTGCTGAGTATTTTCTCTTTGAAACTGCAGTGAACAAAAGACAGTCTCAAAAACACAGTTTGAAAAATCGCTGGCGTTTCTGACGTCACAAACTACCTTGTAACCAATCAGGTCAACGTGATCGTCAACGAGTGGATCTCTGAGCTGCTGTGAGTGAGTGGAGGCGGGGCAAATTTGCATATTCATAGAACCACGTATATATTATATGAGGCAAGGATGTAGAGTTACATTCAAGCTATTTTAAGGCATGAATTTTCTTTAAGGAGAGATATGCTTAAATATGTTATTTTGGTGATCAAAGATGAGTTTTAAGGGATACAGTTATTGACTACAGAGGGACTTTAATTATTTTGCAGTAGCACTATATATTCAGTAGTGACGCAGTCCAAGAATTCTGCTACTGGAGGTCCACTTCCCTGCAGAATTTAGCTCTGCTTAACACACCTGGAAGTTTTTGGTGATCCTGAAGACCTTGATTAGTTCAGATGATTCAATATATATCAGTTGGGGCCAGAGCTAAACACTGCTGGAAGATACTTTCCAGAAGAAGCATTGAACATTCCTGTGTTACCGAATATTTTGGTAAAATGTTCCAAGTGCAATGGTCAAAGAATGCCGATCAAGAGCAGTTAACGGAACTATGATTTATCACGAAATGTCATGAAAATCAATTGGCTCCAGTAGTCTCAGTTTAGGAACTAGACATAGGATTTCAGACAGTAAAGCTCACATAATCCGTTGTCTGATACATTTGGCTATAGCAGTTAAGCAGGAACACCTACTAGCAACAAACAGTACAGCATCTTGGCAACCTCAGTATCAATACATTTGTATCCTTATGAAAGCAACAAGAACAACAAATCAAAGTAATTGAAGATGTGGCCGCAAGTCTCACAGAATCAAAAAAGCTTGGGAAATGTCAAGAGACAAGAGGATATTGGAAAGTGGATTCGTTCTGTCCTTAATTACCTCTGATTCAGAGGTCGCTAACTTACTGGCTTAAGAGGACTTTAGAGTACATCCCACTTTTCTCTGCAGAACTAAAAGTGAAGGAGCCCTTTAGAGTTTTCAAGCTCTATCCAGAACAACAGTCCTATTGTGGCACATTCGAAAATGCCATGTCGCTCATTTTTATCCGCTACACTCCAGGAGGTAACTTGGTGGAGATTAATGGAAATGAAAAGGGAACAAAATGTTTCTTAATGCCGAACAGTACATGCAGGGCACACCAGCAATAAAAACCCAAAGGTGCCACAGGTGTTCATGAACCAAAATTCATTTGAGTCAACCTATAAAAGTAAAATGCAATGGAACATTACCAGCAATTCAACAGCACAGCAGGGCAGAAACAACTACTGAATAGCACATGCACTTGAACAGCATGTTTCACCCAAGCAAATCTAATTCGGCCGTAGGTGGAGCCAATTGCTAACCATGGGAAGTCACCCACCCCCTAACCAGCCCTTATACAACCTCGTTTACTAACCAATCACATGTCAGTCATTGTCTCCCAGACCTTATTGCCACTTTAGAACATCTAAATATGATTGACATTTTGTTATGGGACAGGTTTCTGACCTCAGACAAGTCATTGTGAAACCAAGCCATAAGCCGAAGACCCTATGGACATTATGGTGATTACACCTTTAACATGAAACACATATTTTCTGGTTCTGCAGCTGTGATAGTGATGATCTCATGCTCTCATCACTCAAATGTGAAAGGTCACTGTTCATGGGTTTCAAATGGGCAAATGTCAATTACTGTGACAGTAGGTAGTAGTTACAGGAGCTGAAGTGAAGCGATTGCAGTGATTGTTCTTAAGGGTGATTTGGAGCAGAGGTCGTGTTAACCGAACATTTTCCATCATTGACAGATTTTTTTTTAGCAGTGACGGAAAAATCTGAAAGCCGTCCGTCATTTTGACATATTACACTGGTGATCTATTGCAGTGTTTTTCAACTGGTGGGTCACGACCCAAAAGTGGGCTACGGAATGTGTAGTCAAGGAAACAACAACAAGCGTAATTGTACGTTTTTCTGATGCGAGACTTTTATTTTGAAAGACGTGCGTGAAAGCTCAAGCTGTTGACACTTCTGTCAGATGCGGTTGAAGTTGTTGTTTTGCCTGTTCTGCTGTCAGATGAGATGTTGTCAGCCTATATGTCAGTGACATTGTATTATTATTTTCGTAACTTGTTACGAAATAAAGTGTCTCACCTCAGAAAAACGAACTTTCCTGTCCCGTCAGCCTGTCCCTTCATTATTAATTATTAAGGGGAAAAGAAACTATGAGCAGCATGCAACATTGTTGTCAAAGAGTAAGTCTATTAGTTTGGAGAAACAGTGGTTTGCAGAAACCAAAAGTCATTAATTTACTGTTAGAATTGCCCATTTTAAGTATCAAGAGTTAGAGTTTAACCAAAGTCCCAAAGTCAGTTCATGCTGTGGCCACATTTGCATGCCCTATTTAAAAAGCCAGCATTTCTGGTCACCAGCATAAGGTATGTTTTGCAAGCTGGGACCAAAATGGTATAGCTGGGGATGCTGTTTGCTGGTCCCCAAAATGGGAAGCGGGAGTGCTGGTGGTCCAGCAACAAAAGCTCAGTCTTGCTTGAGAACAGCATGCTGGTCCACCAGCTAGACCAGCACTCTACCACCAGTATAAACCAGCCTGGACTAACATGGAATTCATGCATGTTTCAACAGGGATCAACAGACTATATGTGCAGTCCAAAGGGCATGTCTCAGGACACTGTTTCTATGGGAACTGGAGCTTCTAACAGCAGTTGAAGTGACGTGATGACTTTACCAATTAGTGGTTGGATCTTTAATATGGAGGGTGGGATTTAATTCTCTCATTCAGAGTAACATGAGAGCACCATCTTGGTATGTTGTATATTCCTTGGTTCAACAAATGAGCAGCTAGCCCCGCATTAAGTAGCTTGTATTAACATGATGTTAGAAACAAAGTTCTGGAGGAGCATGTTCAGATAATCAACCCAGTTAGCACGAGAGGAGGTTTATACATACAAGAGTTCAGATGCAAAAGCCCCTAAACGCCATGTCCGTCAAAAATTAGAAATGATATTGAGCGAATGCTCTCCGCACATACTATACGTTCATCAAATACTTTCGTTTAAAATATGCTAAAATCCAGTTAGTTGGCAGAAAGCGCTAAACACCACTTCCCTTTTTCAGCAAGTCCACAGAAGAACCAATCGGAAGATACGGCAGACTTTAATTTGCTGACCTGCAAGTTTTTATCATGTTTTGTCCATCATTACAGTGGCAATGACAGGATTTAGAAAAAAGCTGTTAAAACTGACATGGAAACGGATGTGGAAGTCACTCGCATCACAGCTCCCCCTACTGTGTGGATCAGTTTGAATTCTGGTTTCATTATTTGCAATTTTTCCAGTTGCATCTTTAGTGATTTTGAAATGTATGTCTTGTTGTCCAAAGAGGTGGACTTAAGGTGATGATACGCAGGGCAACTTTTTGAGCAATGTTGCTGAGCAATCTTGCCGAGCGATTGTTGCTTGGGCACTTTCCCATTGAAAATGGGCAATACATTTCCAAATGGATCATTTAGATGGGTCGCGGGCCCTGTGTCTCATCTGCTTGCCCGTTGACGGCAACATTGCCCAGCAACATTGCTCAAAAAGTTGCCCTGTGTATCATCACCTTTAGAGGTTTTTGTGAAAAAAGCACACATGGACATTCACTTGACATTGGACACTGGACTTGACATTTTTGAAAATAATGCATTTCATAACATATCCTACAACATTCCGAACAACATTTAATGATCAGCTGTCAGCAGCTAATGTGATTTGGTTTTGTAGTTTAGCATTCTGTTAATTTGTCCTTTTTGAAGTTTTAATAACAGGAAGAATTTAATTATTGCTTGCAAAATAGAGCAAGAACTACTGTTTCCTGTTGGAGCCATGGCCAGTAAAAAGCTAGATTGTTTTTTACTGGGGCACAAGCTCTAGTGAAACACCGTTGTAAAAATGTACTGATGAATCCGTGCCTGACAGTCGAAATTACCATATACTGACCTGAAAATCACGTTCTCTCGCAATTGTTTTGAGGTCTTTGCGAAGGAACGCAAAGCTTCTTGGCGGAATGCAAAAGTTTTTACGAGGGAATGCAAAGTCTCTTGGGGGAACGGCCGCAAAACATTTGGGAGAGAACGCAAAAGCATTGACAAATACTTTTTCCTTCATCTCATATTTTTTCCCTCCACCATGTCCCTTTAGGGGCTCCATAGTTTAGAACTACCCTGCTGAAAAATACAGCATGAATGCCATGTTGTTCCAGGCTGATTTATGTTGGTGGTGGGTCTAGCTTGTGGACCAGCACTCCTGCTTCCCATGCTGGAGACGAGCAAACTAGCAACCAGTATCCAATGCTGGTCCCAGCATGCAAAACATACCTTATGCTTATCAATCCCACAATCCTCTGCACAAGCCTGCCACTCAACTCCCACAGAGAATAAATCGAAAACACCTGCCCAGCCCCGC